TCAGGAGTTGGGAACCAGCCCACAATAGGATCTCTTGAGCCCAGGAGTTTGAAGTTGCTGTGATCTGTAATGTCACAGCACTCTACACAGGGTGATAGAGTGTCTCAACAACAACAACAAAAAAGGTGACTACTAGAAGAAATTGATCTAAGTAGAAAGTTCTAGCCTCTGGGGATAGGCAATGTGGACTGGCGGTCAGAAGAGCATGACTTTTTCTCTGCTTTGAAGTCTATATCTCTTACAGTCTGTATGTAAATTGTATCAAATTTCATTTAAATTATGAATACAAAGTTGTATAAGAACATCATGGTTTTCCTTGTTTATATGAGGTGAGTACAAAAAACAGTGGTGAGTACAAAAAGAGAAAAAAAGTGGAGAGAAAAAAAGAATCTCATGGCCTAAATATAAAATGTTAAAAATTTAAATATGACTTAAGCCACTTAATGTTGAAACTGGGAACATTTTCTTTCAAGCAACCCTGAAGTCATACCACTAGACCCATAAAAAGGGAAGTTTCATCCTTAGCGGCATTACCTGATCTAGTACCAGACAGTTACATTATAACTATGTAAATGCTGGGTTTGGGGGATTTTTTTACCCTCTAACTTAATATATGTGAAGAGCACAAAGCCTTGTTGAAGTTTGGGGCAGATTGTAATTTATCTGTGACAATAGGAAAGTCAAGTAAAACAGTGTCTCAGAGAAGCAGGGATGAAGAAAGCTAGAGAGGCAGGTTGCTGAATTATTACAATCACTGTTGCATATAAAGCACTCTAAAATCCAGTGGGTTTTGGAACTATTTGATCAGCACATTTTCGTGCATATAGAAGCAAAACTCAGTGACATTTAAGAGGGTGGGAGAGGGGAGAAGGGGATGGATAAATTCCTACCCAAAGAGTACCCAGCACACTTTCTGGGTGAGGAGCACAAATAACTTTGACTTAAAATATACAAAAGCAAGCTGTAACAACAAAATGTGTGCACCCCCATAATATTCTGAAATAAAAATTTTAAAAGGAAAAAGAAAAAATAACTTAAAACATTAAAAGTTTTAAAAAGTGTCTTAAAATGACTCTTTATTATTGCTTGCCATGGGTCAACTAGATAACTGTCATCTCATTTGGGCTCGTTCATGCATCTGTGGGTCAGAGCTCTGTTGATCCTGGCTGGGCTCATGCTTGTTTAGGGGTTGGCTGGCTGTTGGCTGGTCTGGGATGGCTTCTTCTTCTCCAGCAGGGTAGCTCAAGCAATAGTAGGGCTGTGCTGTAAGAGCCTCAGCACACAAAATTCTTGAGACTTAGCCACATTCTCCTGGCTAAAGCAACTTCATAGCCACGACTAGCTTTAAGGGGAGAGAAAATAGACTTCACCTCTTGATAGTCTGGGGGTATGGGGAACTATAAATTTAGTCTCATTGCAAGGCCAGGTGTAGTGGCTCATGCCTGTAATCCTAGCACTCTGGGAGGCTGAGGCAAGTGGATTGCCTGAACTCATGGGTTCTAGATCAGCCTAAGCCAGAGACCTTGTCACTAAAAATAGCCAGGCATTGTGGCAGGGACTCCCAACTACTCGGGAGACTGAGGCAAGAGAATCGCTTGAGCCCAAGAGTTTAAAGTTGCTGTGAGCTATGACACCAGTGCACTCTACCAAGGGCAACAAAGTGAAACTCTGTCTCTAAATAAATAAATAAAGTCACATTGCAGAGTGTGGATAGAGGAAGGATTGAGAACTGGGGCCATTTTTGAAATTCACCTACCACTGAAATGAAGTAAAATACTAACTAAAGTTGAAAGAGCAAGAAATGTAGTGAGACAAGCATACTGTTTAACTCCACAAAGGTAATAAGAGATCCAAACACAGTGTACCTGTTAAACACAACAGGGATGGGATGGTATATATATATATCGGGGCATATAAACAAACTTCACTAGGCATTAGAAAAATATCAAAAGATGGTCTGAAGTTGATAAGCATATTATTCAAGCCAGGGAAATAACTTCCAGAAGTACTAAATGGGAGTGAATGTTGCGCTGATGAAAAACTAGAAATAATGGCTTGGTGCCTGTGGCTCAAGTGGCTAAGGCGCCAGCCACATACACCCAAGGTGGCAGGTTCGAATCCAGCCCGGGCCCGCCAAACAACCATGACGGCTGCAGCCAAAAAATAGCTGGGCGTTGTGGCAGGCGCCTGTGGTCCCAGCTACTTGGGAGGCTGAGGCAGGAGACTCGCTTGAGACCAGGAGTTGGAGGTTGCTCTGAGCTGTGATGCCAGGGCACTCTACCCAGGGGACAAGCTTGAGACTCTGTCTCAAAAAAAAACAAAAACAAAAACAAAACTAGAAATAAGAAATTAAGTGCTTCTGTACTGTTTGATTTAATCAATAGTCCTTCCCCTTCAGAGGGAGGACCAGATTTCCAAGAATCAGGTTCAGTAGACTATGTATCCTGCCACAGGCTTTATTAGTTAGATGCCACATCTCACATTGGGTATCTTAAAAGTCCTTCCCACTCCTCTGTCCTGTTTTAAGAAGCAGAGGTGAACTTTCTGACCACAATTGTCTTTTTTTTTTTTTAAGAGAGAAAGAAAGTCTCACTATATCACTCTTGGTAGAGTGCCGTAGTATCACAGCTCATAGCAACCTCCAACTCCCGGGCTTAGGTGATTCTCTTGCCTCAGCCTCCTGAGTAGCCAGGACTACAGGTGCCGCCTGGCTTTTTTTTTTGCAGTTGTTATTGTTGTTTAGCTGGCCAGGGCCGGGCTCGAACCCACCAGCCTCAGTGCATGTGGCCAACACCCTAATCACTGGGCTGCAGGCACCCAGCCCACAATTCTTTTGTGATCTGTCTGCTCTCCTGCCTCTGTCACAGACAACTGGAGAGAACTCAAGGCACAGATTAATACCCAAATCCTTAAATCCTTCATTAACAGGTAGTTTAGCTTTTTAAATGCCTACATTTTCTGTTCAAATGATAAAGCATCTTTCTAAAAGGCGAAACACCTCAGTAACTGGCAGGGAAGGGAGGGACATTGGTAGATTACCTCCCTCGACCAGTAAACATCTCTGTAAAAAACCAGAGAGTAAATGTTTTCAGCAGCCTTCCAGGTCATCTGGTCTCAGTCTACTCAGTTCTGTCACTGTAGCATGGAATGCTATGATCTAGAGATGAACAATTACAATTTTAGTTACAAAACAGGCAGTGGGCTGAATTTGGCCCATAGGCCATGGTTTTCTGACCGCTGCCTAGACTAGTGGCTTTCAAAGTGTGGCCCCTAGATCTTAGAAATGTAAATTCTCAGCTCTTCTCTAGATCTACTAACTCAGCTCCTCTCAGGTGGGGCCCAACAATCCCTGGTATAACAGCCTCCTAGAAACACAGGTGCACGCTCAAACTTAAGAACTACTGTCCTAGGATAGCTGTGGTGGTTCATGCTTGTAATCCTAGCACTCTTGGGAGGCTGAGGCAGGTGGATTGCTTGAGCTCACAAGTTCAAGATCAGCCTGAGCAAAAATCGAGACCCCGTCTCTACTAAAAATAGAAAAATTAGCCTGGTGTGGTGGCAAGTGCCTGTAGTCCCAGCTACTCAGGAGGCTGAGATAAGAGATCTCTTGAGCCCTAAGTCTGAGGTTGATGTGAGCTAGAGTCTGAGGTTTTTGTGAGCTAGGCTGACCCCCTGGTACTTTAGCCTAGGCAACGGAGTGAGTCTCTGTCTCAAAATAAAACAAAAACAAACAAACAAAAAACAAAACAGGTCGGGTGGGCCTGGTGGCTCATGCTTGTAATCCCAGCACTTTGGGAGGCCAAGGTGGGTGGATTGCTTCAGCTCACAAGTTCAAGAACAGCCTGAGCTAGAGCGAGACCCCATCTCCAAAAATAGTCAGGTGTTGTGGTGGGCACCTGTAGTCTCAGCTACTCAGGAGGCTGAGGCAAGAGAATTGCTCGAGCCCAAGAGTTTGAGATTGCTGTGAGCTATGATGCCAGGGTACTCTACCAGGGGGTGACAAAGTAATACTATCTCAAAGACAGACAAACAAAAAAAACCAGGTTGGCCAGGCCTGGTGGCTCATGCCTGTAATCCCAGCACTCTGGGAGGCCGAGGTAGGTGGATCGCTTTATCTCTCAAGTTCAAGAACAGCCTGAGCAAGAGTGAGACCCCCCCATCACTAAAAAATAGCCGGGCATTGTGGCAGGTACCTATAGTCCCAGCTACTTGGGAAGCTAAGGCAATGGATCACCTGAGCCCAGGAATTTGAGGTTACTGTAAGCAGTGAGGAAATGGATCACCTTAGCCCAGGAATTTGAGGTTACTGTAAGCAGTGAGGCAATGGATCACCTTAGCCCAGGAATTTGAGGTTGCTGTAAGCAATGACACCATGGCACTCTACCAGGTGCAAGAAAGTGAGACTGTCTCAAAAAAAAAAAAAAAAAAAAAA